AAAACTTTATAGTCTGACTGGTCACTTATGCTGCTTTACAGCTTTGTACCAAAGTGAGAATTTGGAGTTGATATGTGGTTTCTTTAGTTGACTCTTATCTTAATCTAATATCGTTATTTGGTTGATCCCTTTCAGTGCCAGCTGACTAAAGTATTAAGCTTATATCTCTATTGATGGTTGTTAACTAAGTGAACAGCTAACCGAGTCTTAAGATTACATTTGAGGTGGTGTATACACTGAGAGAAAACCAGTGTGTTCATGATTCTTATTTTTAGCACTTATGGTAGCTTGGTTAAATCTGTTTAGAACTGCTTTGACTAATTTTGGACCAAATGTGTATAGGTGTCAAAGATGCAAGTGATAAGAAAATTCTTGTGGACATGTTATTTTGGGCAGTTGACAATCCTGCACCTGCTAATTATTTGTTGATTTCGGGAGATCGTGACTTTTCAAACGCACTTCATCAATTACGCATGCGCAGATATAATATACTTCTAGCACAACCTCAAAAAGCATCTGTGCCACTTGTTGCTGCTGCGAAGACTGTATGGCTCTGGACAAGCCTTTCAGCTGGAGGACCGCCTTTGACAAATAGTGAATCAAGTCAACTTGTAAATAGCAGTTACGGTTCTATAGCCACTTCAGACGCATTATCTACGTCATCTAGTGATTCCAGTCTGATAAGCCAGGCTGTTGATACTTCCCATGAAAGCCCGCAAATGAAGTTTAGCAATGGGGGAAGGGGTACCGATAATAAACAAAAGGGCAGACCAGTTCGTAAAAGTGTGAATCAACCCAGTATATCACGAACTTCATCTGCAATGTCAGGCACACAAGAAAATCGTAGTGCTGCAAACTTTCATCAACCAGGATATGGGTATCCTAAGCAGTTCAATGATTCAGTGGAGTTGCCTGGAGCTCATAATTCAAGAACTCCGTTCAGTGTGCCCGTATCTGCCTCGAGCAGTGGTCCTGGTAATCTCGAGCCTTCCTGGACAAATGGAAACAACTCGCAGAGCAGTTATCAAAATAATTATCCTCCAGTAAGGCCAAACAACCTCCCAGCATCACCGGTAATTCCCCCTGGTAATTTCTTACCACCTAATTCGCATGTGCATCATTCTCAACCAATTCCTCCTAGGTCTGATGCACAAGGCTTCTCCTCAGGCCTTCAAATACCTATGCCTGATATGGGTAAGCTAAAAATCAGTGAAAACTCCAACAATGGTCATAATCGTCCTTTTTCTCAATCGTGGAATGGAGAATCGAGACAACCTCCTCAGATTGAGAATTCTTATACTAACATAAATGGGCCTAAGAAAGGAAACAACTTGCAGAAGAAAAAACCATTTTACCTTGAAAAAGAGGTTAACAGGTATCCACATCCCAGCCCTGAGATTCCACCACCACCACCATCATCTATAACAAATAGCAGTAATGGACCGCTCAACGGTGTGTGGGGAGCTCCAGGATGCCCAAAACCTTCTGAGTATGTTCAAGGTCTTATTGGAGTCATTTTACTTGCATTGAACTCCCTAAAAAATGAGAAGATTATGCCTACTGAAGCAAACGTTGCAGATTGCATCAAATATGGAGATCCAAAACACCGCAATACTGATGTTAAGAAGGCTCTTGCAAGCGCAGTCGAACAACAGCTGGTAGTAACAAAGAATTTAGGTGCGTTGCAGTTATATGTTGGTAAAAATGAGAACGTATGGAGGTGTGTGAACCCTATTGGTGGTAATCCGAAACAATATCCCAAAGAAGCATGGGATGACCTCCAGAAATTTCTATCATCTTCTGCTGGAAGAGCCGCCATAAGTGCTACTCAGTGCAGGTAATGGGATCTCATTTAGTTTGAACCTTATCGAATTTTAGTGGATGTTGGAGAGGTTTCAATAGTATTCATTTAGTTGTAGGGCATCCAATTAAAAATTTGATAACAGGAAAAAGCTTTTAGGTTCAGGATAATGCCAAACAGTCTTTTTTTGTTAGGTCCTATAAAGATAGTTTCTCGTGTGTATCTGGCTGATATAATCTAATTTGAACTTGCTTATTTACTTGATTCTTCACTAGGTTTGAAGCAGCTACAGTTATTAAGAAAATGTGCTTAAAGGAGCTTGTTTTAGGCGAAATACTTCAGATCTTGCATATGGTTATTAACATGAAGAAATGGCTTGTACCACATCATTCCGGGTGGCAACCAATTACGATTACTCTATAGCAGAGATCGTCCCCAACTCGGGGGTCGTAGCTGCGACATAAGATCTGCAACATCTGGTTATGGACGGGAGAGATGGCTTATAGGTTCTTATCAGTTCCTTCATGCACTTATCGACTGAACTGGTAACAGATCAATCTAGCCCATTTCTCCTCTTAAAGTGTCGCAATAGATTAAGTAGCTGTATTTATGTTAATTAGATTGTTCTGAAGTAGATATAGTTATAGTTTGGCTGTTTATCTTTTTCCTGGGAAATCAGAAAGCACTGTGGTGGGAGCTATGTCGGCTGTTTTAATAAAGCCTTCCGAGGCGTTGTGCTTTGGCTGGAATTCTAGAATATCTTAAGCGAGAGATTGCTATAACATGGTTGGTGCTTTGTATTTTGGGCTATTGCTTTATTGCCCGGTTATTGGTTATTGATTAAGCGGATCAATATATGTGGAAAGTTGCTATCCGTGATTCAGGGACTTTCCAGTAAAACTGTTATTCAGGAACTTTTTGAGCAACCTATGTGAGAGTATCCTAGTTCTAAATCAAAGTTGCTAACAGTGATTCAGGAGCTATCCAGCGAAACAGTGATTCAGGAACTCTTCGAGTAACATAAGTGAGAATGTCCTAGTTGCTGTTGTATCTAACATAGAGATTTTGAAGCTATGAATCTCAGAGCAGGTATACAATTCAGTGAGAAGGATAAGTTTGTCTGGTTTGTATTGAGGGCAAAAGTACTGGAGTTGAAGACTCTGAAACTGTTGGAAACGAGTTATTACAGAGAAGGTATCAAGTATACAATTCATTGAGATGGATATGCTTGTCTGGTTTATATTGAGGGCGTAAGTACTGGAGTTAAAGACTCTTGAAGCCGTTGGAGCCGAGTTATTATTAGACTGGTGTTTAAAGTTGTATCTTGCAGTATGAAGATATTCAGATCTTTACTTTCTGGCCAGAGAATCGAAGATCCTCTACCCTTGTGTTTCAACAAACAGGACTATGCAAACAAAAATTATGTGGCAGATTATGGTATAAATGTAACTGTTAAATGAGAGTTTGTGCGAAGGCCTAAAGTTCCTTCAACCGTATCATTCTCCTCACTTGCAATTATGGTAGAAGTTAGAGACAAACGACTGCGTCCTTCGTCACTTCAACGCAGTTGTCATTGAAGGTTTGGTAATCTAGTTATGTATTATTCTACTTATAATCAAGCTGACAGCATACAAAAGGAGTTGTATGCTTCATCTCACTGCATGCTTAAGGTTTCATTCCCCCCTGATGTTTTAAATTATTGTAGATATATGTTGTAATGGTTGGAGCTGGAAGGAGCTCGTTTTCAGCAGTAACTTTTGTTATAAAGCTTTGCTTCGTGTTACATTTATTTGTTGCAGCGACTTTTATCCCGTCTCTCTAGTTACTGGGTAATACCAAAAATCATTCCCTCGAGTATGTATAATTTGCGCCTTATTATATAGAATTGTGTTTTGAGAGAAAAAAAAACTTTGATATCCGCTGGTTTTATCAAGACTTGAAGTTTCTATAAAAATCTATTGTGTTTGACGCAAATGATCGCTTAAATTTATGGGTTTTCTAATTTGTTCCTTTAAATATAGTACTGAGCATATACCCTCTCTGTTTTTGTTTCTGGTGCATTCTTGGTTTGGGGCTAATAGAAACAAAAGGAATTTACTTTATATAATTACTCCGAACTAAAACAGAAATTCTTCCTCATACCAGAAGCTAAAATAAGGTGTGCTATGGGATTCATTATTTTGTGTGCCGATGATCAAGTCCAAAAGGGTTGGTTGTATATTGTAACCTGTGAATGAGGATGAAATTTTTAGAAGATCATAAGAATGCTAACATTTGGCAATGTGATACAAAAATTTTGACGACTCAGGAAATAAATTTGATCCATTGCACACATGTCTAACATCTGGATTTACTTTTAAAGATTATACATTTGAACAAAGAAAAGTGAGGGCCAATCATTAACAGTACTTAAGCTGCCCAAATCAAAGTAGAGAGATCAATTCATTTGGCCCCAACTAGGAACCCTATTCAGGTGTCTTAACTTTTTGATGAACACAAACGTCTTTTGGGCTAACCAAGCTGTAATGCCAAAGAAGAAGTAACAAACCTCTTTTAGTGATATGTCTTGATGCAAAAGAAAGAAAAAACTTTAAGATCATTCAAATTGAAGCTAAATTCATCTTCCCCATTTGGTCACTGTCCAATTGAATTGTCACGTATACAATTCAAACATGACCATTTGTTGAAAAATGGAATCCAAGTCTGTATCGCCAATTATTGTTTTTACTTTTTACCCATTCCCAGGCCAAATATTGGTTAATTGACAAGGTTGATTGAATTTAACAACTTTTATACGTTTAGACTTTAGAGCCTAGAGGGATGAACAAGAGAGAGAGTGAGAGACTACGAGAGGGGTCACCTTTATAAACTTGACAACTATGAGGGAGCCAATTCTCAACTCCGCGAAACTCATGGACCAAAGAGAAAATACTCCTTTTAGTAGTCTATTTTTTTCTTTCTGGGTTTGTCTGCTTGATTACACTCCCCTTTACCGATTCTGGTTCTCCTGATTATGTTCCCTGTTCAGAATTCAGTTCTGTACTGTTTTCTGCATCCTCCCTTTCACATCAACCTTACTTAATTCTCGTATTTTGTCCAACTCAAAATTCTATACAGTTTTTTGTATTTACTATCCATTTATAATGTTCCTTTTTCGTTGAAATACAAGTGACGACTGAGCAGAGAGGGAGCAACTTCAATGGTGATAAAGCTCTCAACTTTAAAGCTTCCCAAGAAAATCCCCAACTGGGTTTGTTCAAAATCCTCTCTTTCTTCACTCTCTGGTGCTTGTAGGATTCAAATCACCCCTGAAACCAATCAACCCTCTACCCCTTCTTCTGACTTTGATTCAAAGATTCAACTTGTAAAGACTAAGCTTCACCCTGAAACCTTAGCCAGCGTTCTTGATTCCACTACTGATTTGGATTCTTCGTTGAAGCTATTCAAATGGGCTTCCCTTCAAAAAAGGTTTCATCACTCTGCTGATACTTATTTTCAGATAATCTTGAAGCTAGGTATGGCTGGAAAAATAGATGAAATTGAAGGATTTTGTAATGAGATGGTAAAGGAGAAATGTCCAAATTATGAACAGGTTCCTTTGGCTTTGTTAGATGCATTTGTTAGAAATAATAGGCTTAGTGAGGCTTTATGTGTTCTTTCTTGTATAAATTTGAGTAGCTTAAAGCCCTCTATATCTGTATTTAATCAATTATTGGGTGCACTTATAACGGAAAAGAAAGAATTTAAGGACGTATTGTTCGTTTATAAAGAGATTGTGAAGGCTGGAATTGGTCCCAATATTGATACACTTAATTATCTGATAGAGGCTTTGTTTGCTGCCAATCGTGTCGATGCTGCATTGGACCAATACAAACGTCTTCATAAGAAAGGTTGTAATCCTAACGGAAGGACTTTTCAGATAATTATTGGTGAACTTGTTGCAAGGCGTAAAGTGGATGAGGCACTTGTAATTTTGGATGATATGTTTAGAATACGGTGTGAACCGGATTATTCTAGCTTTTATACTCATATAATTCCTTTATTTAGTAAGATGAATAAATTAGATGTAGTAACGAGGTTGTTCTCTATGATGAGAGAATCTAAGGTTCTTCCGGATACACCAACTTATGGGGCAATGATAAAGTGTTTGTGCGAGAATCTTCTTGTGGTTGATGCTATAAAACTTGTAGATGAGATGGTGTATAGTGATGTTAGGCCAGATGACGACGTGTTCATGAGTATAATAGATGGATTATGTGAATTGAATATGTTGAGTGAAGCTAAGAAGTTTTTGAATGACAAAGAAGTTGCACGTGTATTGCCTTACAATGCACTTCTTGAAGCTATTCTAGATGATGACGCCTTTAGTATGGCCAGAGATCTGTTTGGTGAAATGCTT